CTGACCAGAAGTTCTCTTTCACACTGTGCCTGTAGCAGTGACAGTCAAAATGCAAAGGCTGTGTGTGAGCACAAACAAAAGCACAGCCCAGCAGAGTCAGTGTGTGTAATAATGCTGATCTGCCTGAACTCACGCAGAAAATAAAGAGGAGGTTGTCCATTTCATATATATGTTAGCTTTCCTCTTTTACTTCAGAACTTTTACTTAAGAAGCTGGGGTAGCAGACAGACACAGAACAGCTGCGAATTTGTCAACTGTAAATAAACTGTAAATTACATTTTATTCATATGAACTCTTCCTATCCACCCCTCTGTAAATGATTCTCAAATCACAGCATCCTCTATGAGCTGTGTCACAGCTCAGTCTTCTCCTCATCCAGAGCTGCCTCTTTTCCTTTTGGAGGCATATCTCTATGCATATGTAAGACCTTTACTTTCCAAACTGATTAACAGTTACATCAGGATTTCTTTTTTCTTTTTTTTTCTTTTTTTTTCTTTTTTTTTTTTTTTTCTCCTTCCAGGGGCATAGGAGAAATGCTTTAGAAACACATTGCTCTTGGGGCAGGGATTTCTCAGCTTTTTCTGAAAAGCAGTGACCAACCCATCGCTTGTTGAGCTGCCCAAGCTGAGCCCATTCATGTAGGTTGGCAGGCTGAGCCTCTGCTCTGTGCTGAGGTACCCAGACACATGAGAACACACCGACTGCTACAACTGCTTGCACCAAACAAGGGCCTGGCTCAGGAAAGCCAAGCTCACCCCCTCCAAAACCGAACCGAGGGACCTCTTCCTGCTGAGTTTTCGCAGTAACTCCACCAATCCTTCCTCAGCTGCGGGAGAGTCCTGCTGCTGGAGCTGGGCCTGGGGAAGACTGCACTGATGCCACTGCGTGGTGGCAGCCTGGCCTTGCACGAGCTGTTCGTGCATCCTGAACCTCAGTTCTTCCAGCTGAAAAATGGGATGAGAAGTCACTTGCTGCCCAAAGCGCACCATGCTTCTTACCTGAGAATTATACAGCTGCTGAAAGACTCTGAATAGATTCAGCTGGGCTGAAGGGCTGTGGCTGGAGATGTCCTCCAGTGCAGAGCTTGGCTGCGAGCCTCCCAGACACCACCTCTCTCTTACAAGGGAAACTCATCACGATTCTGAATGCAGGGCTTGGAAGGGGGATAAATCTTCAAGATCTGAAGGACTGAAGACTGCTCATCAGCTCCCTTTAAACCCGCTCCGGGTTTTGACTTGGGAGGTTAGAAACCACAGCCAGGGAACTCTCTTTTGATTCACAACTTGTTTGGAGCAATCACCCAGAAAGCAGCCAGTGAATCACTGCAGCCGGTTAGTCATGCAACCGCACCAAGAGAGCACTCAAAGGGAGCACAAAATAAACAGCCTGCAGCCCCAGATAACACACAAGCAGCTCGTTTGCGCTATCTGGCATCAGCATATATTGTTAATAACACATCAAACCCTTAGGAAAAGACGCACGCAGTAAGCATCTCCAAATCTCTCTCCCCATCGGTATTTTTCCCGTCTTGTTTCAAAACAATTCAGACAAGGACGAGTCGAAGTCTTTTTTCTCTCTCTCTCCGCACCCGTCCCGTCTCCGGTAAGGTTACAACTGTGCGCAACAGCAGCGCGGGGCCAAAGCGGAGCTAAACCCGCTCGGCAGCGGACAAATGGAAAACAAACAGCGCTCCCGTGAAAACAGACCTTCCCGGGGGGAGCTCCTCTCCGCTGACACACTAGCGGTATAAACAACCCGGGCCGGGATCTTTACCGAGGTCTCCACAGCCAGCTCTCCGACCAAGCCACGCGAAGCGCGCCGCAGCTCCGCGAAAAGCGGTGACCGAGCCCTTCCGAGGGCGATAGATGAGCGGGGCCCTACCTTGGCGTGCCGCTGGCCGAGGGGGTCCCGCAGCTCCCGCGGAGGAGACCCCGCACCGCCGAGCGCCTCGGCCTGACTCCCGGCGGGAGCTCCCTCCTCTCCCTGAGCGGCGGATTTGTTGATCCTATTGCGGGGAGGAGAGCGCCGGCGCGGCCGCTCGCCCTTTTCCTCCCCGGGGTTCCGTCCTCCTTCCTCCGTCCCCGCTCCGCTGGCGCCGCGCCGCGCGTCCCGACGGCATCCCTTTATAGCGGGGGGCCGGGGCAGCACCTCCCCACCCCTCCCGGCCCCCGGGGTGCGGGCAGCTCCCCCTCTCCCCGCCCGCCTCCCTTCGGCCGCGGGGCAGGAGCCGGGACGGGGGCGGCGGCGCACCCCGAACCCCGCGGTACCGTACGCCCTGCGCGCACCGGGGCGGGCGGTGGTCCGACGGAACCAGGCTCGGGGCGGGGGCGCGGCATCGCCCCGCTTGGGGCCGGCGAAGGGAGCACCGGGAGAGCGGTGTCACCGCGGTAGCGGAGGCGGGCACCGGGCACGACGTGTCCCGGAGGCGGGGGGCCTGCCGTGTGCACCGGGGGGAGGAGGGGAGGAGAAAAACATTAGAAGTGTCAATTAAAATAATAGCAACAGTAATAAAGTGCGCAGCGGACAAATAATTCCTACGGCACTCGCTTTCTGCTTAACAACAACGCGTTCCAGACTGCGCTTTTTGCCGCTCTCTAAAGACAAGAAATGCTCGTTATGTGCTTAACCCCGCACTTACAGATTTCCTCAGCACGAAGAAGGCCGTTTCCTCTCTCTGCCTCCCGCGGGTACACGTCCCCATCATATTCCCATCATATTCCACCGCCCGAAGCTTTTTTTCCAGCCCGTACTTCCGCGCGCGTTGCCGTGTACGGGTATAGACGCACATAAGTTCAGGACACACAACTTAACTCCGGTTCCGCGCTGTAGAAATAGCAGCTCAATCACCGCGGCGCATCAATCATCTGAGAACCGCGATATGTGTCCCGCTCCGGGGCTTTATTGAAGATTTCTCTTTAATTGCCGGTCCGCAGGCCGACCCGCAGCCCCCCCGTTAGGGCGGTGCCAGCTGGAGCCGAGCGCGGCCGTCCGCAGCGGGGGGGAGCCCCGCGGAGCACCCCGAGCACCGCCGCTCGCTTCCTGCGCCGATGTGCGGCCGCTGCCCTCCCTGCCTATATTTATCCGTACAATGCAATGGAAGGGATTCGATCTGGAAATAGACGCCGGGAGCTATAAACGGCAGGCGGGGGCTTTTTATAGCTCGGAACGTGTTTATTAAGGAATTAAAATTAAAGAAGAAATCCCCCGGCTGGTTTGAGAGGCTCGAACGGGCATCGGCCCCAGTACAACGAGCGCTGGGAGGAGCAGGCTGAGAGCACCGCCGGGGAGAGGCTCCGTTTTCCACGGCCTCGTGCTTTTCTCGCTGTGTTATTATATATATGCGTACATACATATATTTATTTTATTTTATTTTGAGTGGGGTTATTTTAATAGAGAACCGAGCCCCAGTGGGCGGCTAGGAGAGCCGGACAAGCGGAGCAGCCGCTGGGCCTCGGCCTATCCCGGCCATCCCGAGCGAACCGCCGCCGCTCCGACGTCCTCTGCGATCCGCGGGAGCAGAGCGGCCGCCTCCGCCACTGCCCCGAGGGTCCCGGCGCGGTGCGCGCCCGGCGGAGCTCAGCCCTCTGCCGCCATCGCTGCTTTCGCTCCGAGGAAGCCGAACGTGGCTACCATTAACGAGACGCCCTCCTAAATCGTTAGCCCTCGTTATTAGTGTTGCTGTTAATTATCCTCGAGGAGCCATGTGGCTCCTATTACAGCCCCACCGATCCCGATCGCACCGCACTGCGCTCGGGGCCGCGCCGGGCCATCAGCTCCCGACCCGGAGCTCCATCCGAAATCCCCTTAGAGACGTATCGGGGCCGCCCGCTAGTGTGACGGCGGGGGCAGATTCGGGCGGCTCTGCCCTGGGCTGCAAAACGCCCTCGCGAGCTGAGCTGGCGCCCGGGGCTTTTTCAGCCTACGGAAACAAGAGAGCCGGTTAGTGGTGGGGCGGCACCGGCCTTCCCCCGCGCCCCGCTTTGCCCCTCCACGGATGAGGAATGGCCACCCGCCGGTCTCGGCCCATTCCCACGGGAAGGCGTGCAGCCCCAAAATGGGGTGACGGGAGCGGCCCCGGCTGGCACCGGGGAGCGGGTCTTGGCTCAGAGTAAATAACGGGGGAGCAGCTGAGAGGGGAGCTGTGCCCGGGGCCATGGGGCGAGGGGTGCGGGGATCCCTTCAGCTTTACTCAGGGCGAATGGGGCTGGGGAGGTCAGTCTGCGTGCTCGTACACCTGCAGAGAGGGAAAGGAAGGTGCGTGGGGGAGAAAGAGAAAGCAAAGAGGGTACAGAAGCCGCCGTAGATGTGGCGGCGGGAGACGGGAAAGCGGGAGCTGTAGTTCCTCTCAATACTACCGTTCCCCCACCCCTCCCCGCTGTGCTCCCAGCGCACCCGGCAGGGTCTGTCCGTGTCACCGTCCCCGTGCCTGCCCGGCAGGGTCACGGCGGGCGCACCTGGACAGGGGCACCTCAGCCCCGCTCTGCCCGCAGTGCACCGAGAGACCAGGGGAGAAGTTCATTTCCACCTTCCCTTCTTCTGAAAAAATAGAGGGTCGCGGATTTGATTTCTTTTTATTCCTATTTTTTTCTTTCCTGTTTTTCCGCTCCCCGACCTCCCGGGCACAGCTCGCCCCCTCCGGAGAGCTCTCGGGACACGCGTGGGGAGCGGCCCCAGGGCTCCGGCCGGCTCACGGCCGCATCGGGCAGCAGCGTGCGGGGGAGAGGGACGGGGAGGCGGCGTGGGCAGAGCGCGGAGACATTCGCCCCAAGTTCTGTCCCAGCGCAGCCATCCCGCGGTGGCATTCAGCAAGGAGCGGCTCTCCGCACTGCTTTTCTCTTCCATTTACCAGAATTTCCTCGAGCCTCTGCCTTTTCCCGCCCCGGCGCTAGCCGCAAAACCACAGCAAAATGAGGCGAGGGGTAGCCGCGGCCGCCCCCGGAGCCCCCCCCGGCCCCGGGAGCCCTTCTTCGGCCCGGCCCCATCGCGCGGCCCGCACTCACCGTAACAGGAGACCTGCAAGGCTCCGTTGTGGCTGCCGCTCTCCTGCAGCTTGAGATTGCTCTCCGGTGGGGTCTTGCAGGGGCCGCGCTGCATGTAGAGGTGCGGCGGCTGCTGCTGGGGCTGCGGGTATTTGCTAAAGGCGGGCGGGGGCGCGGCGGGGCCCGGCGCCTGCCCGCTGCCGTCCAGGGACGGGCATTCCTGCGGGCTGTAGCGGCTCCGGCACTTCGCGCCGCTGTCACCGAAGCTCTGTCCTTTGGCGGCCAGGAAAGCGGGGCCGAACTTGTCACTCGCTTGAAATGCCCTAAAAGGCGAGGAGCCGTCTGCGCCCTGGGAGGCTGCGTTGTAGTAGGAATCCATGGCAGCCGGATCACAATAAGAAACACAAGTATCAGCATTCATTCCTAAAATTAAAAGGCCCGAGTGTCCTTAATGCGCTTGGAGGGGCACCAGGAGCCTCTCTTTCTCCCCCTCCCGCATACGCGCACACCCACAGCGGGGCCGGGAGCTGTAAGAGGGCTCAGCCGCTGCCGCCCGGCCCCGATCCGATCTCAGAGGGGCTCTGCCTCCCTCTATCCCTCCCTCTCTCCCACACTCTCTCTCCCTCCGAACTCTCCGCCGCCCAAAGAGGCTCTTCTCGTCGCTTTCCCCCCCACGCACAGGAAAAAAAAAAAAAAAGAAAAGAAAAAAAAAAAAAAAAGAAAAAAAAAGAGAGACCTCTCCCCCAATTAATATGGAGATGATGACAGTGGAGGGGAGGGGGCCCGGGTAGGGGTGTGCGTGGATGCGGATGGGGGTGTGGAGGCAGAGGGGGGTGGGGGTCGTATCTTTCTCATTAGAAAAAATAAAGCTATTTATGTTTAAAAAATAGAAAACGAAGCAGACGAGCACATGGCATTAACGCGGTTCGGGACAGGCGCGGGGATGCGCGGGGCTTCGCGCTGCTGCCATGCTCCATTTGTTCCTACCCTGGGCCGAGCGGCGCAGCTGAGGGACCCCCAACCCTAACCCACGCCCCCCCCCACCCCCTTGGGCTCCTTACAGCAGGTCCCCGCGGGCCTCTGGGCCTCCTCTAGCCCCGTTAACCCCTTCCCTGCTCTCCTGGAGCCTTTCCGTCTCCTGGCAGCGGGTACCCGGCCGTGGTTTTTTACCTCCGGACATCCGCGCTCTCTCCAGGTGTAACTAACTGGGGAGGGGGAAGCGGGGGGCAGGGAGGGGATGCAACGGGGCCTCCGAGAGCACAGAATAGGCTTTGGGACGGTCAGACGTGAACTTGCAAACGAGCGGAGTCTGGAAGGGGCCTTACTGCTCCGAGAGGTCAATGGCGGCCCGAAAAGGGCTTACAAATAAATCAGTGCGCACCTTCCCCGCCCACCCCCCCCCAGCAGCCAAAGCGATGCCCCCTCCCCCGGGTACCTCCCGCTGCCCCTCGCGCGTCCCCTCGCCCTCGCCCTGCCTTCCTCCCGGCCCCACATCTGGTTCCTATTGCCCACTTACCTTGAAGTTCTCAGTAATAAAGATATTACGCAAACTGCATCCACAGTTCTTCAGTCAAAAAAAAAAAAAAAAAAAAAAAAAAAAAAAAAAAAAAAAAA